AGTATTAACTCTCTCTACTCTTTGGTAGCTATCCAAACCCAAGCTTAGACACTTGAAATGAATTCAAAATAGCACAAAGACACAAGAAGTAGATAGCAAGAGATAGAACAAGAAGTAAAAGAGAAAGTGGTAAGCATATACCTCTCAAAGAAGTAAGCTTATACCTCTCAAAGAAGCAAGCTCTTGTTTGTAACACAAACTTGGTTTAAACACTCTCTCAAGCTTGAATTGTGATGCTCAAGCCTCAACCAAGGTTTAAAGGTTATGATCTAAGGTGATATATGGTGTATAGATGTTGATCAAGAGAGATAGGTTGGCTCAAAGATGACTTGTATTGGAAGAAGGAGCTCTCTCTTGTGTGTATATGTTCTTTTGAAATTTTTCAGCCCTCAAAATAGAGGTATAACCTCGTTTTTATGGAATTTGAGCAAAACAAGTCAAAAATATCTTCAAAAAAAGACAACTAGCGGGCGCTTGCCTAGAACAGTGTGTATCGCCATTGAGGCACGGCTAGACCCAAATAGTCACAACCAGCTCCCAATGGGGCACAGTCGGGCCCTAATGTGCTACCTCACTTCCCTATTTCAAACCCAGTATAAGGTGGCACAATGGTCAAAAATGAACCTCTGAGGTAAGAATGAGACAAGTAGGAAGTTTGGGGATTATTTCGGGGCTCGACTTTGGATTCCCTCACCGAGAACTTGAATTACACAATGCAGTTTTCATTATCGAGTGCACTGGACCAAGTGCCTAAGTCTTACGGGTGGGCCAAAATGGGGTGTCTACACATATGGATCGGAAAAATAAAAACAAGCAACGCATAATCCAAATTCATAAACAAAAATTCCCATCCACGTTTACAACCAAAAACATCTAATCCTTCAACCTCCGTACCAGATCGTTGATGAAAGACTTCCCCATATTTGCTTGCAACATACTGTAATTAGTCCCTTGTAATGATCGATCCACGTCGCAACGAAACACATATTGCCACATCACAGCACACACACCCCATAGTCAAGCATACACAGGGATTAAAAACACATAATCAGCCACATGTACGATGACTCAAATTTTACAACTACAGTTCCCTGATAATCATGAACACAATTCTACTTACGTATCCGGTTTTTGTTGTGGACAATTAGTTACAAACTCTAACGGGTGGATGAAATTTATGTCGATGCTTTGCTCATCCATCTTGAATTCATGTAACAATTGCTTCATAACATTCGACACATGTTCTTTCTGCAATACAAAAAACAAAACCACAAACAAACCAATCACACAACAATCATTCACACTACCATTGCCCAATAACACAACAAAACATATCAACCCAAATCTTGCCAACATAACAGCTTCAGTGTGGTGCACATTTGTCCTATCCCCACGTTGCCTTAAAGAGATAAGAATCAAGCCTAAAGAAGACCACAACTACCACAAACATTGTCGATGCCTCCTCCACCACCAAAATCAAACCCCTATCATCCATCATTTATCAGATATCATACACAACCCAAAGCATATCTTTTATCAAGCTAGGCTTTGGGTTGTGTATGATATCTGATAAATGATGGATGATAGGGGTTTGATTTTGGTGGTGGAGGAGGCATCGGCAATGTTTGTGGTAGTTGTGGTCTTTTTGGCCAGTGAAGTGTGTGTGCACCCACCATTATGGCCATTGGCAAAGATTAGTGGAACTGAAATTCTGCATATTGTGATCTATATTGCATTGGGTCTGTCATTGCAAAGCTTCTCCAAATCGAAGAGAAATGCCTCTCGTGTTTGGGTATTTGGAAACTTTATGGTGATTCATGGATGATTGTGTTGTTGTGGATGTTTAAGGTTGAGTGTGGTGGTAAAGTAGGTAGTGATTGGAGTTTGTGAAACATGGGGTTGGAATTGGGTTAGATGATGGTGGTGGTCGTTGATGATCAAGGTTTTAAAAAGTGGCTGCAACTGTTACATAACGCCGTTACGTAACGGTTGCAGTGGTTACTGCTAGCCGTTACGACTGCTATAGCGGTGTGACAGAAATTCACTACCATAACAGCCACTACCGTTACGTAAAGGCCGTAGCAACCGTTACATTGCCGCTACAACATCGTTACAACCGTTACACTTCTATATATATATATATATATATTTTTTATAAATTTTGTAGATATTGCTATTTTCTCTTTTTATTTTCTAGTTACATAGAACTTAAGAAAAAATGTTACCTATACCTGTTTTGAATGTCCAATCTTCAAGTTCTACAAGATTTCATTACTTTTTTACTTAATTATATTTGAATATGAACTTAATCTATTTCTCTTATGTTAAACTTATTGAACAAAATTTAAATTTCATGTTATATACTTCTACATTATTATGTTGACATTTTGTATTTTGAACTTCTATTTATGAGACAATTGTGTTTTTAATATTCATTTTTTTTTCTTAACAAATCGGAAAATTATCCATAATTATAATTAGTGAAGTAAAGAAAATTAAATAAATTTAACAATAGGATAATTCTCTATAGCAACTTAAAACTAATATAAAAATTAGTATATATATTGGATCATGTTTTAAAACTAAACAAAAATACGAAAAATCATTTTGTGCCTCACTAAATGTGATTCTGAAATAAAAACACGTGTATCGGTATGTTTTCCTAAAGTTGTGCGAATAATTAAAAAATTCATGGTTTCGGTTGCCGCCACCATTACGCTACAACTGTTACACACCGCAACCGCATCCGCGTTACCTCTATCGTTATGGTAACTGCCAGCGTTATTTAAAACCTTGGTCCTATGTGAGTTTCAATTTTTTTTGGAAGGCTGTTATATCTTGGATAAGTGTAGTTATCAAATTTATTTATTTATTGCAATGGTAGGGGGTAGAAAATGTCTGTGGTCATGTTAACCCATGACAATAATAGAGTGTTATCTGTGAATTTTTTTTTCTTGCCTCACACGGAAAGAGTTATACAAATTTTTTCTTTCAACGACATCCTATTTAACTTTCACTATGTTCAATTATATCCTTAAAGGGGATAACAATTTTCAGTTCAGCATTATATGAAATATAAGGCATTTGACAGTGTAGGATGTTTTCTTGTAGCTTTACCCAGCCCTTGTACGTATTTTGAGCCAACTCCCATCATAAGATCTGGGTTTCTGGAAGAGGCTTGACAGTTAGATCCGACATATCTACCCGAGTCCATGCTGCACAGTTTTAAAGTTGTTACGGTCGATTATTCATATTTCAAATTCTTCGAAAAATCTTGTGCAAACTTTTAAAATTTGCATTTCATGCTTCTGTTTGTAATCTCAATTAGGCTCACAAATTTTCTGTATCATTTCATGCTTTTGTTGGCATCTCCTTAAATTTTTATGTGAAGATTATGAAGTCGACCTCCAAGCATATTTGTTTCCTCTATTTTGCTTTTGACTATTAAATTACAGCATAAGTTTTTAGATGAAAATCAAGTGAAGAAATTTCTTGTCATCAGTGTTGTTGAATACATGTCATGTATTGTTATATCACTTTTGTGCATTGTGTATCATGTCTCATATCTCATGTCATATCATGTATAATAAAAAACATTGACATATATGACTATAGATGAATAAATAAAAAGTACTTTCATATGATACATAAATATATTGAAAAAATGAAGTACTAAAGCATATAATCAATGACATGAAAATTATCTTTAAAAACTTACAAATTGGACAAAAAGGTAAATATGCCTTCATTAGAAACCCAAATATTCAACTCATAAGAAATTGGAAAGAAAATTCAAAATTTAATATAATAGAAGGATTAATGAAATTTCATTGCAAATATAAAAATAACACAAAAGGTTTTTGTTTTTCAATTGGGCCCAACTTCTTCATCGCTAGTTCGTTTGGTTCCCGGTGTGCAATCAATGACATTCTTTAGGACTTGTTTGGATGAGTAGCTTAAACATACTTGTTATGAGGTATATGGTCATAATCTTGGGTCTCAACCCAAATCCAAATGGACTATGTGTAAACTCTTTGTTTCTGTCGTCTGAATTAGATCCATGATAGTTGTTCAATTTTTGTAGCGGAGGAAGTATGGGAATCATTTTTGCTTGCGGGTTTATTTGGATTTGGGTTTGTTCAACGAGTGCGGGCAATGGCAATTGACATTGCGAAATGCTGTTAATAGGGCAAAAGGTCAAAGAGAAGGTATTGATAGCTAATCACAAAATACATGTTAAATTGTGATACAATATGAAATTGATACAATACAAAACATATTTCACAATTCAATCTACCAACCTATGAATCTGCAATACATATATTTTTCATAATGATTCTGACAACATTGCTTTTCATATTTAATCTGCATTTCTTTTCTGAAATTTTCTTTTCCTTTTCTATTTTTTTGTTCCTTTTTTCTGGTAGGCATCTATTTTCTTGTTCCTTATTAAATAGTTCAGAGAAGAATCAACTGTTCCTTTTTTTCTTTTTTGTCAATTTTGCATCAGGCTAAGGTGTTGGCTAGAAAGATTGGTTGGTCTAACCAGCATACTGGACTGTACTTTTATTTATTACAATTTACATGTCATTATAAGGCTAAATAATTATTATGTCATATATATGAATATATAAGTAAAATACTCAGTTTTGAAGTATGACGGAGGAGAATAGGTATAATTTACTTAATTTTTGTTTTATCATTGGATTCTAAGTTATTTTATTCAAACTCATAATATGTTTCATGTGTAAGTGTTGGAAAGTGTCCAGTGAGCGTTGTGTCATGTTAGTGTCAGACACAGCACATTACCTTCTTAGAAGTGTCCGTGCTTCTTAGATTGATACTCATTGAACTTTGTGGGTCTGGAACTTAGAGTTCTCTTTCATACAAGATGTTGTCTGCTCAAACCTTTTATGTTTATCTCATTGTAGAGAGCAAAATCTCCTGCACTAGTTCCAGAAGATGCAGATCCTATTTGGTCAGTAGGTTCCAAAACCATTACATCCGAAAGGTCAGGAATGAAACAGAGAATTGGCAGCATCATGAATGGAATCCACAATTGCCTGGGAGATCCAAGGATTGGCCTAGTCTTGCTCTTAGGAGCATTGATGTCTTTTGGTAGCATCTGGCTGTGAAGGAGCCAGTCAACTCATCCAAGTCGATCAAATAATCAAACTCAACCGAGCAAAAAAGTAAGTGATGGCATATTGCGCTCCTGGGAGCATTGTTATTGTTTGTTTTCCATCTATTATTATCTTTATCTCCAATGTGATTTCATTGAGCAACAAACAATATATGTGCATTTTTCTTCGTCATTATTCTTATAATTTTTTTTTTTTTTCGAGTTGATTGTGCGGGCTGCTAGTATACATATATATAATTATTATCATTGTCTTTATTTTTATACATGTGATGTCTTGGCTGCATATCATTTTACTTGATTAATTTAGGAACTTCTATTAATATTTTGTTAGAATTAGTCCACCTATGTGATATATGTGGGTCCCATAAAGTTGTTAGGTTAGTTTAAACATGTATTTGGATTAGGATAGTAGAGTCCGGAATCTACTGGGGAACTCAATGTGTAGGTTTTGGTTAATATTGTATGGAACTAAGTTTTTTGTGAGTAGACTATTATAAGTAGTCATGGAGACTATCGGTTTTGGTGAGATTAAGAGGAGGATAAAATAGAGATGTAAAGGGTGACAAAAAATACTGTGAAGGCACCGTGGTTAACAAGGGCTCAACTACTCTGGAGCATGGGATTCGGGTAGTGATGTGGGTTTTGAGTGTGTTGACCATCTTACATGTATTATTTATTTTTATTCATAGTGAAGTTTCTCTCCCGTGGATGTTGGCAATTGTTGCCAATCACATAAATTTGTTTGATTGTTTTTCTCTTTGGTGTGTGCATTGTGTGCTTCCATTCACATTGGTGGGATGTGGTATAAATCTCAACATATTCTTCAAAGTTTCCCTTTATTTAGTTCAAATGCAGTCACATATTCCTTGTGGGAAGCAACCCTTTTTGTTTTTATTTTTGTTTTTTTTCTTGACAGTCAGGTTATTGCCTATTCATTAGCATTTTATTACTGCCCCTAACAGATTATTGTACTGAGTGATAGCTTTGTGCATATCTCTGAATCATCTCATTGAACAATTCACATTTTCCTGCTTTGCAATTTCTAGAGACTCGTCATTCTCATTGAACAACCCACCCCAAACATTAAAAAAGACAGAAAAAAAACCCTGAAGAAGGATTTTTCTGTCTCCCTCACCACGAATCATTCTTGTATGATTGTTCCTTCGTTGGGAATCTAGTGCTTGCTAGTTGAAATTGTTTCCCTCACTACCAATCATTCTTGTATGATTGTGTTCCTTAATTGATATTCTCTGACAATTTTCTTTCACATTTATCCCCCACCATTTTTTTTGTATGGAATCTTTAAAAAGATTTTGTTCAAGGACAATATTGATTCAGTGGCTCCTTTGGAAAAGGAAATTGTGTCTCGCTTTGTGTTGAACTACCTAGAGGCTGGTGGTGTTATGTGTTTTATAGTTCCCAACCTCGAAACTCGAATAATTTCTAGAGCCACTGCCGACATTTCTCGTTTTGGCACCTCTTACAACTAATAATCAAAGTTTTTAAAGGCAAATGTGTAACGCGAGGCATTTTACCTCTTGTGAGGGGAGGCATAAGCCTCAAGACATTGACGCATATGAATTTTGAATTTTAAATTTTGTATTAAAATAGTGAAAAAAATTAAAAATTAAATATGCTAGAAGTACTTTTCTCCGTAAGGCATCAAAATATTTCATTGTAGAGATGGAAGCTTGCCATCATCAAAGGTGAAATTGGCATTTTGAGCTAACGTTATCGAGCTTTTCACTCTTAGTAGCAAAAAATTCTTTCTTGGTTGACGTTTCTTGCTCAGAAACACGATTCTTAGCTCGCAAGGAAGAAACCTGTAAGAAACTCGCTTTCATTGAGAAAGAAACTCACACTCAACTGAGATAGAACCTCTCAAACATACAAATCTCAAAGAAATAAAAGAAAAACAACTCAAACTTATTGTCAACTTATTTAGGGCAAATTATATATACCTCTCTCGAGGTTTAGCTAAATTACAGATACCCCCTCTGAGGTTTATATTTTCATAACAAATTGCCCCATGAGATTTATATTTTCATAACAATTTGTCCCCCTAATTTGTTATGCAAATAATACCTTCAGAGGGATATCTGTAATTTCTCAAACCTCAGGGGGGTATCTGTAATTTTGCTAAACCTCGAGGGGGTATATGTAATTTGCCCTTTTATTTATACTTAGCAAAAACAATTTACAGCTGACATCAATCTCCAATATTAATTCATATTTTAACACATAATTACAACTAACAAACATAAACATCAGTGATCTTAAAAAGAATTCACTACAGTGGGACTTGCATAAGTATTTTGTGCTATTTTTATTTTCCTTTGCTTTCTATATTTTTTCTCAATCACCGTATGAAAATTTCCAGGATGACAAAGATAGACCAAATCGGACATGCAAGAAGAGAGTGGTGTCAAATCAAGATCGTTCTCCTTCCATCACCGACACAGAACCAAAAGATGCTTACCTGTCACGCCCTCAAAATAATAAGTAAAACCCATCATTCTAGACATGCAACAATATATGAGAAATAAACATCTTTCTATTTATCAGAGTAATTCTTACAAAAGTATTACATGTTGACAACAAAAGTAAACGCCCTATGGGCTTACAACTTTCCAAGCCAACACTTGGTTACAAGAAATGAGTACTAACTCATATACAGATTAAGCCCTTGGCTTGAATTTACATGTAATACATCAAAGAAAGTAAAACAACAAAAGTTCTGTCTGCCTCTAGCCTCCCAAGCTATGTCCTTGGAGGTGGCATGCTACCTGTACCTGAAAATGATGTCCCATATAGGGTGAGTCACAGCCCAGTAGAAATACACTAAACCAGCTATAAACAATGACTAAAGATTAGCAGTTGATAGATGGTCAACACTTATACATCCATTTATCACATTACAGTTCCATGACTATCATGTCCATGTTACAGTTCACTTCCCATTTCTTATTCAACTTTGAGTTTGAAAACAAGGCTCAATACCCTGGCCAAATCATTGGATGAAATTATAATTCATCACTAAAACACTTTTGAAATTCAGGATGGATACACATTTTGGTGCTGTATCAATAACATATAAAATCACTTCCATACATCTCAAATATTACACATTGTAGTGCTGTATTAATGAAAGAAAAACACGTTCATATGTCTCAAATAATACACATTGTAGTGCTGTATTAATGAAACAAAAACACTTCCATACTTCACAAATGATACACACGGAGTTCATCCCCTATCTTCTCCCAATACTATCCGGTTTAGAGGTACATCCCCCATCTTCCCCTAAACCGCGGAGTACATCCCCCATCTCCTCCTCTACACATAACGTATATAAACACATTGGTTCTATATACAATCACTCAATACATACAATTAATGTATTTTATCAACCGTCAAATTCCATGACACGTTCCATTGATCAGTTTTCGTTTGCCTAATCATCATGCAGTGTCTACAACAATCAAGACTATCCTCCACCGATAGCCCAAAGCAGTTATTTCTAAACAGGAAATAAATGCACAAAATGGATATAATAATCAACATTTCAACTAGGTGAGCGATAGATTTATCCAACTACACCCTTTAATCCCATATCTTCCCAATTCCATTATTCTTCATTCAATTCCGCATTTATCAAAATTAATTATACAAATCAATTTATTCAAACTAATTAGGGCATTTTCCCATAATTCTCAATACCGACCCTAAGGTCCCATTTCTATCAATTTCATAACATAACTTCCATTTTCAATGTTACAAATACACATGGGTTCAATTAGTCCAAAACGCCTCTTTTATGAAAATTACATAAAGACCTCCAAACTTTCTCAAAATTACACAACAACCCCAACGTATCAAAATGCTAAAATTTAAAGACAAAGCTCATAAGAAGGAGTAGGATATCCCTACCTCGAAATTAGAGCTCAAATGGAGATGAAGACCAAAAACCAAAATGCTCCAAATCGCCAAACTTTCAGATTAAAACGAAGCCCAAGTCACCCTCTACCTTTTTAACAAAGGACTTAGGGTAGATTCACACTAGAGGGAGATGAAAACCTAGAGAGATGATTTATAGAGAGAGAGGAAGCTCGGATCTAGGGTTTCCAAAACAAAAGAGGTGAAAAAGTGAAGTGTTTACCTGCTGCTGCCTGCTGATATACAACTGGCTCGCTCGAGCGAAGACTTGGTCGCTCGAGTTACCAGACACAAGAAACCTATCTCGCTCGAGCGAACGACGTCTCGCTCGAGCCAACAATTCAAACCCTCAGGTCTGCAACCAGACGCACGCTCGAGCGACAGAACGCTTGCTCGAGCGAAGAATAACCAGCTCGCTCGAGCCAAGAAATGCAACTCTCAGGTCCAGAACCAGATGCAGTTTCTCGCTCGATCGAAGAAACTTTGGCTTGAGCCACCAGACACAAAACTCGACTCTCGCTCGAGCGAAGGATCAAATACAAAGAGCTCACTCGAGCGACAAACTGCTCGATCGAGCGAAGGACCAAAATTCTGGGCAGCAACCATTTGTTCCCAAACACAACCAACCTGTAACAAACCTGCCCAACACATCATGTAACTCAAATACAAAGTATGAAAGGATGTAAACAAGATATAAACAACTGTTAACATCCACAGAACCAAGTCCAGATCACTGTACAACAAGAGGTAAAACCCGGGATCGCTATATTACCAGATGCCACTATCAGATTTTGACTCTGAGTAATAGATGGTGTTCAAAGGAATCTAGGTTTGACATTAAGCAAATTAAGCACCTGGGGTTCTTGACCTAAAGATCAAAGTTTTATCTCCATTGTGATTATACTGATTTTTGGTCATAGGTGTATCAAGTAACTAGCAAATGGCTGCCCAACATATATACATAGAGCATTTAGAAATTATACCATGAATTTTGTGAACCTGTTTGAATTGATAGTTTGTTTGTTTTAGTCACAATGTGTGATTGAATCATAACTTTGGGATAAGTTTTGATTTACTTACCGTTGTGTTACCTTCAAGAGCTGCATTACCTTTCTTATCTGGAAAAGGAAGCACATATGTGCTTGTATCACTAAGTTCTAAAATTTTAGTGAAAAATTCTCATGAAATTGATTGAGGAGATATGTGAAATTTTAGGAGGTTAGTTCCCATAAAAGAAAATTTCAACATGTTTAGAATAATATATTGTTCAAATTTAATGGAGTCTTAAGGTTAATTTCATGTGCCTCCTTGAGATTTGGTAAGATAATATCTAGCCCCCAAAGGCTTCTAAGTAGGAAGGGTTGGACATGGGTGTCTCCATTGAGTCTTGTTAAAAGATAAAAGTGGGTGAAAGTAAGTGAAATATAACTATATTTTATGCATATTTTACCTAGTTTTATTTTTTATTTTTTTTAATTGCTACTCAAATTTATGATTCAAACACAACTTAAAAATATAAGTATGCTCTTTTCATGATTTGAAATAAGGACCTTTAACCATAATGCCCATGCATAACAAATTGTTTTTACATTTGAAATTTTGATTTACCAATTTCAATTATGTGCTTATCTGTTAGAAGAGTCATATGGCACGTGCAATGCATGTGCATTGATTGATAATCCAAAAAATATAAAAATTGTTGTTTAGTTCTTCATGATACTCTCTGTATATAAATATATGTATGTATATAATAACGTGGATATTAGATTTTTATCTAGAGGCTGTGTTGATGACAATGGATAAAAAGGGGATTTGGTCATAGCCCCCTCACTATCTAATTTCTCTTTCAAAAGGACAAGAATTGTATAAGTACTTTCAAAACCCCCTGATATTTTAAAACTTGTTTCTTTTACTATATTACCCTCATATCTATCAGCTCTCCTATTAAGACATTTTCACTATGTATTTCAGAGTAAAATTTTACACTCTGAAACTAAAAGTAAAATTTTACTCTGTATGAAAGTAAAATTTTACTTAAAAATACAATTTTACTCTGAATCAGAGTAAAGTTTACTATGATTCAAAGTAAAATTTTATATTGTTAAGCAAATCAACATGTTTTCAACCAGAGTAAAATTTTACTCTGAAAAACAAGTAAACTGTA